ATGCTGAAAATTTTACTGATCATCATGAAGATGAACATTTTGAGTTACTTTTTGAATACAATGAAGTTTTTTTAGAGACACCAGGGAGAACCAATGTTTATAAACATAAAATAATAATGATTGATTAAAAAAAGAGTGGCTTGTGTGCTCGAACAGTACAGATGTGCGATAGCTTCATCTCCACGTTGTGAAAGTTCATAAGTGAATCCATCTACCAGTTGGGGTAAGTCTATATATTGTTTTGTGAGTTGTTCTCGTCTATACATCAAACACTCTGCTGTGAATTTAGTATAACTACTCTCACACCGTATAACTCCAACACATTCCTTGTATTGCCTGAACCCATATCAACCTGTAGTGAATATCCAGTGAATCAAAGACTATAGAGTATCGTCCCAGTAGTGATAACACGAAAAGTCGGTACGCAAAAATTCAATCGAAACAAAGACAATAGTGCATTGGAAAAGTAGCGTTCTCGAAACGAGAAAAGTCGGTGCGCGACAAAATTCAAACCCCCTCTCAAAGACAATAGTTAGTGTTTTAGTAGTGACAGTTTTCCCAAAGGAAGTGTTGTTTCATCGAGACAGCATACTTTCAGAGAAAGCAGCGACGAAAAAGCACCACGAACTCGTTGGTAAGTGAAAACCCATTGTAAAAGTTATTATATAGGAATTATACTAATCTGTGCGAAGCAGGTACTCCTGTAATTGAACAGTTGGTTATAATCTCACCCTAATAAAACAATTTACCCATACTGATGAATAAATAACTATTATTTGATAGCTACCTTATTGACAATCATGCAGTGTGCCGGGAATCCGAGCACACTGCAGTAAATCCACAAAATTAACACACAAGCACATAATTGAAAAACCCAAATAAAATGTCTTTAGATTCGGAACGTCTCGTTCACCTAGGTCCTAGAGATTCGGATGAAGACGAGAAAATAAAAATGAAAAAGACCGATAAAACTAAACTGAAAGCCCTCCAAAGCAAAATAGATGCCGCGGAAGCCCATAACTCTAAAAGCACAAAATGAAAAATTATTTGAAGAAATTCGCGCAGCCAATTCGAGTATAGCTAAACTTACTCAACAAGTAACTGAACTTCTCATCGCGGTCAACAATGATAAAGACAAACAAACACACATGGAGGCAGAGGAAATAGTAAATCAAATGGAGAATACTATTTCAAACAAACCAAATGATGTCAACCAAGATGGAGAATGGAAACTAGCATCCTCTTCAAGGAGTAAAAAACGCAAAGCAAAGAAAGACGCAGGAAACACATCCGCGAGTAACAATAAAATTGCCAAATCGAATGCAACTAGTGGAGCAGAACCACTAGAAAATTCTAGTGCCACTCAGGACGCAAATCAGAATAATTCAAATAATAATTATTTCCCCTCTCTCCATTGTGCTCAGAAACACAGAAATATGGACAAGTAAGTAGATATGCACTAAATAAAAAGATTGGCATAGCACATGCAAAAAACATAACTGACGGCGTTTCAATTAATCCCGATACCCCCGACGACTATAGAAAACTCATAAAATTATTTGATGAAAAGAAAGTCGAATATCACACTTATATGTTACCGGAAGATAAATTACTACACGTAGTAATTAAGGGTATACCGGAAGGAACGGATACAGATGAAATTAAACAAGACCTGGAAAATAAGGGTTTCCACCCCGAACTAGTCAGCCAAATGACTTCCAGAAGGACTAAAAAAGCACTACCCATGTTCCTTGTACAACTCCCAAAAAATGAGAGTAATATATATACGAACTAAATGAATGTTACTACCTGAAAATCAGTGTAGAAAAACAAAACAAACAAAGCGGACCCACCCAATGCTATAGGTGCCAACGTTTCGGACATGACCAGAGCAGATGCACAGCCATCCTCAGATGCGTAATCTGTGGTGGTAACCACCGTGCGGCAGAGTGCAGTATTAAAAAAGACCAGCCCGCCAAATGCGCAAACTGTGGCGGAGAACACCCCGCGAGCTTCAGAGGATGTAGTGTTTACTTAAAATCGAATCCGAACATGAAGGCAAAACATAATTCTGCAAAAGTTGACCCTAATAAAAGCTATGCTAAAATAACCAATTCAAATACTGCCTCACAGTCCAACAATGAAAATGATCCAAATCAAAATCAACTTGAAGAAATGAAAAAGCTATTTGCACAAATGGCAGCGGTAATGAGCTCACTCACACAAAACTTAAAATGAACACACAACCCATAAGACCAACCAATGTAAAAATTGCCTCGTGGAATGCGGATTCGGTTTGAAGTAAAAAACACGAAATCGGAGAAATCCTAGAAAGAATAGAGATCGATGTCTTGGCCCTACAAGAAACCAAACTAACAGAAAATATAGGTTTTAACATACAAGGTTATATAACATATAGAAATGACTTCAGAAGAAATTCTGGAGGAACGAAACCTCGACGAATTCCAAGACAAATACCCAGACGTAAACGTTATAGGAACTATACATCCCACCCACTACCCACAAGCAGAGCAAAGACGGGACGTACTAGACATAGCTGTGACAAAAGACATAACCTTCCCTATTGATCTACATGTCATTCAAGAAGGTTCTTCAAACCACAATCCAATAATATTCAACATAAACCAAAACAATGATCCTGAAGAGGACCGAATAATCCGAAACGTCGACTGGGATATGATCCGTAGAAACATAGAAAGAAATATGCGCCCCATTAGAGTGATTGAAAGTGAAGTGGATATTGAAAGTGCCATTGAAGGACTAGAAGAGGACATAACAAGAGCTCTAGAGGAAAGTACCATTACGAGACACGCCCGTAAAAACAGTAAGTATGGTGATATACCTGATGAAATAAAAGAACTGATAAGAAGGAGAAATCGAGCGAAATGGATAGCCCAAAGAACACTAGCAAGACAAGACAAACAAGCTGCTAGGTAACGAATTGAACAGACAGGTAAGAAAAGAATTGACTTTACATTATAATAATAAATGGGAAAGATTTGTTGCAGGCCTAGATCCTAACTCACCAGGACTATGGAATCTCCAAAAGATCATCAGAACTACAAAAACCACTGCCACCTATATATGGGGTAATGGGAATTGTCTCACCGAAAGTGAGAAGGCAGAAGCATTTGCTGACTGCCTTGAACTGGAATGTAGAGAAAACAACCACCCAGACGAAGATCCACGCCATGAAGCATCTATCAGGAGACAGGTACGCGCCCTAAGACAAATGGAAGAGAATGAAGTCATTGCACCTACTTCTCCCGAAGAAGTTAGACTTATTCTCCAGAAACTGGCAACAAAGCGAGCACCTGGCTGCGATAACATATCAAACAGAGCGCTCAAAAAACTCACTAGGAAAGCAGTGGTTACCATCGTTAGTATAATAAATGGCATATTAAGATAACGTTACTTTCCCAGGAGATGGAAAAACGCAGAGGTGATAATGATTCTTAAACCACAGAAGAATGGCACATTTCCACAGAACTATAGACCAATAAGCCTCCTCCCAGCGGTAAGTAAAGTTGCCGGGAGAATTATTGCTAACAGACTTGATTTTAGCACAGAAGCCCTGAACATTATCCCTGACGAACAGTACGGATTCCGAGAAAAACATTCAACAGAACTCCAAGTCCTGAGACTTGTCGAATATGCAGCCCAAGGGCTGAATAGGAAACAGGTCACGGGGACGGTTTTCCTGGATGTTTCCAAGGCTTTCGACAGAGTATGGCATGATGGACTCATATCCAAAATGATGGACCTAGGATATCCAGTAACTCTAATGAAACTCATTGACTCATATATCCGAAACAGAAAACTCAAAGTCAAAATTGGACATGAAAAATCATCATCCAGATCAACGGAAGCAGGAGTCCCGCAAGGCGCAGTATTAAGTCCAAAGCTGTATACCATATACACATCAGACACCCCAAAGACAGATAACACCTGTTTATCATTATACGCAGACGACACGTCGATAGCCGCGAGATCCTTGAGACCGGAACTAGTAACACGACATCTCCAACGGGCTGCAACTGAATTGGAAGACTGGTGCGTAAAATGGAAGATAGCTATCAACCCGGATAAGAGCAAAGCAGTACTGTTCAGAGGAAAAATGCGCAAAAGACCAGAAGGACATGTTGAAATAGGCGGAAACAATATACAATGGTCAGAAAAAGCCCAGTACCTAGGAGTAATCTTGGATCAAGGACTAACCTTCAGCGAACATGTCAACCATACGGTAAGTAGAGTTAAAGCAGCTAAACAAAAATTATTTCCACCTATAGGTAGAAAAAGCAAGATGTCCCTCACCAACAAACTATCATTGATAAGAGCAGTCATCCTGCCTATACTCACTTATGCCTCGTTAGCATGGGGACAAACTTGCAAAACGAACAGGTAGAGGATCCAAGCCCAAGAAAACCTAGCCCTGAGGTTGGCTTCAAACGCCCCCTACTACGTATCGAACGGGACCATCTTCAGGGATCTGAGAATCACACCAGTGACCACAAAGATGAAAGAGAAGGCAGAGAAATGGTTCCCACTTCTAGAGACACACCCCAACAGAGGTCTACGAGAAATCCTGGATTACGATCCAAGATTTCGAGAACGGCACAAACGACCCAAATGCCAACTACACAGCGAGGACGAAGATTGAATCAGGTGAGTGAAAAAGACGATCGAATAGCAATATCCTTCTATGACATAGTAGTCATAAAGGGAAAATTGCAAGCTATCCAGCAGGGCACCCCCTAAACAAGCCCCAGAGACGACACACACAAACAAGAAGACTACACTTTTCAAAAGTGACGCATTCCCATTTGCAACCAACAAAATTACTGACTAGCAGCTCTGAAAGCCGTAAGGCTGAGCTCAACACCACACTAGGAAGCGTGATCCAAAAGATCAATTTTGCCTAGTATACGGACAAATACAGACAAACCAGACGTAGGAAATAGTACCAAAAAGAGAATGACATGAGGACTACTCCAGGAGGAGTAGGGGTTGGTTGGCAAGTTTCAAGGAACTTTTACCCAGTAAAACGGGTAGAAGTTTTTCGAAATGGGAACCTCATAGAGAGAGGTACCGGAGGGGGGATTGATTCAACTCCTTTCGTGAAAAGATCTTATCCTGTACCGTTCTCTTATAAGGAAGAAGTGCGAAAACAGATAGATGAAATGGTTGATTGGGGAATTATGGAAAAATGTACTGACTACGTGTCACCGCTAGTAACAGTGATAAAGGAAGATAAATCCGTGCGTATATGTCTGGACGCGAGATATTTGAATGCAAAAATGGCTAATGATCATGTGACTCCACCTCTTCCAGATGAGTTATTGGCACATTTCAAAAAGGTCCGATTCCGAGCACTGTCGATTTAACGGCCGGGTATTGGCAGGTGTCAATTGAAGAAGAGGATCATAAATTTACCGGGTTCAGCTTTGATATTACAACATATTGCTTTTGTGTCCTACCGTTTGGACTGAGTACATCGGTAGATAGTTTTGTCAGGTGTTTGAATGAAGTTGTGGGTGTTAGATACAAAGGTTTTGTTCTTATTTTTGTCGTTGACCTACTGATATTTTCCGAAACAAGTGAACAGCATCTGGATCATTTGAAACAGATTTTTGAGAGATTCAGAGAATGTAATTCAACTATCAAGTTCACTGAATTGAGATACATACATGACGACATACATGATAAAAATTTGTAGGGAATTTATAAGTTCAGCAAAGAGGGAGTGACTTTGATCTGATTGACTCGAATGATCAATGAATTATAATTTAGCTTGAATAAGTAATGGAAGGAACAGCTCATTGTCTACTCTGTTAATAATCAAGATCAAATTATTATCCTAACATTAGGGATTCGCATCGAAATCTTCTCACTTTTGCAAATTGAAGTGAAGAAAAATTTATAAAAATCATAAATTATTGCTTGGCAAAGATTTGATGGAAAACTATAGTAAGTGACAATTTCGTAAACATTCAAAGTATGAATTGAAGCTAAGAATTATTTATCGTCATAACAATTAAGGAATATTTATCGCTCAAAAATCTACGGAGAATCTTGCCTAATATAAACACAACATGAAACTTTGCTGATGTTCAATTAATAATAAAAGCAGGAAAATCCGACTTTATATCTTCAGTCTTCAATGTTACTCAATACAAAACGTCTCCAGCAGACTTTGTATCTGTGAAGTGAACTTCGATAATATCACCTGTGTAATTAACCACCCATGTACATTATCATTATGAACTGTAACCTTTTGTGACTTAGACGTGAAAGTGAAGTGAATCTCTTGCCAATCAAACACAAGTGAACAGTGGAACAAAAATGTTTCATTTTGGAATGTAAGCAAACTTTGATTTTGTTGGCTATATCTCTGCCTGACCATACTACCTGAATAAATGTCCCAGTTACTATCTATATGGTGTCTTAATGCTTACAACCTCAGTCTGCCTCCTGCCTCAATAATCACGAACCCATTGATCTTAAAAGAAGACACCCTCTAGTAGGCCAACGAACTAAGAAAGTTGGAGGCTTTGAAATTGGTGTCAGGTGTGGGATTGAATATTGAATTAGTAAGGAGCTATTCTTCCCTCAGCAGCAGGAGAGAGACTTGTAGACATAAGACTGAAAAATGTGACGAACCGGAGACGACGACAAACAGAAAAACATCATTGTTATCATGCCCATGAACTTGGATGCAAAACCAGAGTAAAATGGATCAACAAGTGTTCACGATTTTCTCCATATCATCGAGGTAACAGCTATATTAGCAGCTTGGACCGAGAGGCAGCAGAAAGCTATTACTCAATTGAAATAACGAGGGATAGCCAAACAGTTGATCGATTCAGAGCCTGATCTACGAGCTATGGCCACCTGAGGCATCCTTGAAGGGGACCTACGTAAGCAGTTTGATATAGTGCCCTGGGTAAGCCCTGAAGGCATTCATAGGATGTAGACAACGTAACGGTGAGCCATGCAGACAATTTTTGGCTGGATTAAAGGTCGCTGCAAATTAGACTGTGACGTACATTTCTCGTCCAGACGACAATCGGTTGAATAAACAGAAATTATCAGCAGACACCGCCACGCAGTTTGTATTAGGCTTGCTGAACCCGATCAGGAAGAGAGTACTATCAGCGAAGCTTCTAACCTTAGAAGATGCAGTCAGGGTAGCGAAAAACGAAGGAACAATGAAGAATCTGAACAAGATACAAGAGAAAGAATGCAGAGCAATGGAAGTAAGGAATAATAGACAACAATCATCAACTCCTGGGACCTCAAAATGTTACAGATGTCAAAAGCCTGGACATTTTGCTGATGACTGCAAAGAAAGAACAAGTGGAAATGGGACCTTAATATGTTATGGTTGTAATGAGCTTGAACATGTAATCAGATTATGTCCTAGAGGATCATACCACCGAGGTCGACCTCTATAAAAGGGTCAGAGAACCTCACGAACTCATCAGTGTATTAGTAACTACCATGGAGCATACAATAAAAATGGAACATCTACTAAATCTGGTGAGACTGATGCCAATGGACGGAGGCAAAGTGATTTTGATCGGAAGAATAATCAAAAATATCGTTGATGAGCAGGATTAACTCCAAACCGTAAATCCATTCGAACGGACCAAACACCACCAGTGGGTAATGAACTGGATGCATCTCAGACTTTATCATCTGGAACTTTGCCGAACCAGGATTGCCCTCCGTCTACCAACGTATTGCCCGTGCATCTGGTGTCTCCGCGACCCCATTGACCAAGGACCAGCACAACTTCCAAACCTTCCACCCACCCTGAATCCATTCGAACGGACGGAACACCACCAGTGGGTAATGAACTGGATGCATCTTAGACTTTTTCATCTGGAACTTCGCCGAACCAGGATTGCCCTCCGTCTACCAACGTATTGCCCGTGCATCTGGTGTCTACGCGACCCCATTGACCAAGGACCAGCACAACTTCCAATTCCTCCACTACCCTAAATTCATTCGAACAAACGGAACACCACCAGTGGGTAATGAACTGGATGCATCTTAGACTTTTTCATCTGGAACTTCGCCGAACCAGGATTGCCTCTTGTCTACCAACGTATTGCCCGTGCATCTGGTGTCTACGCGACCCCATTGACCAAGGACCAGCACAACTTCCAAACCTTCCACCCACCCTGAATCCATTCGAACGGACGGAACACCACCAGTGGGTAATGAACTGGATGCATCTTAGACTTTTTCATCTGAAACTTCGCCGAACCAGGATTGCTCTCCGTCTACCAACGTATTGCCCGTGCATCTGGTGTCTCCGCGACCCCATCGACCAAGGACCAGCACAACTTCCAATTCCTCCACCACCCTAAATTCATTCGAACAAACGGAACACCACCAGTGGGTAATGAACTGGATGCATCTTAGACTTTTTCATCTGAAACTTCGCCGAACCAGGATTGCCCCTTGTCTACCAACGTATTGCCCGTGCATTTGGTGTCTACGCGACCCCATTGACCAAGGACCAGCACAACTTCCAAACCTTCCACCCACCCTGAATCCATTCGAACGGACGGAACACCACCAGATCGGAAGAATAATCAAAAATAACGTTGATGAGCAGGATTAACTCCAAACCGTAAATCCATTCGAACGGACCAAACACCACCAGTGGGTAATGAACTGGATGCATCTCAGACTTTATCATCTGGAACTTTGCCGAACCAGGATTGCCCTCCGTCTACCAACGTATTGCCCGTGCATCTGGTGTCTCCGCGACCCCATTGACCAAGGACCAGCACAACTTCCAATTCCTCCACTACCCTAAATTCATTCGAACAAACGGAACACCACCAGTGGGTAATGAACTGGATGCATCTTAGACTTTTTCATCTGAAACTTCGCCGAACCAGGATTGCCCCTTGTCTACCAACGTATTGCCCGTGCATCTGCTGTCTACGCGACCCCATTGACCAAGGACCAGCACAACTTCCAAACCTTCCACCCACCCTGAATCCATTCGAACGGACGGAACACCACCAGTGGGTAATGAACTGGATGCATCTTAGACTTTTTCATCTGAAACTTCGCCGAACCAGGATTGCTCTCCGTCTACCAACGTATTGCCCGTGCATCTGGTGTCTCCGCGACCCCATCGACCAAGGACCAGCACAACTTCCAATTCCTCCACCACCCTAAATTCATTCGAACAAACGGAACACCACCAGTGGGTAATGAACTGGATGCATCTTAGACTTTTTCATCTGGAACTTCGCCGAACCAGGATTGCCCCTTGTCTACCAACGTATTGCCCGTGCATTTGGTGTCTACGCGACCCCATTGACCAAGGACCAGCACAACTTCCAAACCTTCCACCCACCCTGAATCCATTCGAACGGACGGAACACCACCAGTGGGTAATGAACTGGATGCATCTTAGACTTTTTCATCTGAAACTTCGCCGAACCAGGATTGCCCTCCGTCTACCAACGTATTGCCCGTGCATCTGGTGTCTCCGCGACCCCATCGACCAAGGACCAGCACAACTTCCAATTCCTCCACTGCCCTAAATTCATTCGAACAAACGGAACACCACCAGTGGGTAATGAACTGGATGCATCTTAGACTTTTTCATCTGAAACTTCGCCGAACCAGGATTGCCCCTTGTCTACCAACGTATTGCCCGTGCATTTGGTGTCTACGCGACCCCATTGACCAAGGACCAGCACAACTTCCAAACCTTCCACCCACCCTGAATCCATTCGAACGGACGGAACACCACCAGTGGGTAATGAACTGGATGCATCTTAGACTTTTTCATCTGAAACTTCGCCGAACCAGGATTGCCCCTTGTCTACCAACGTATTGCCCGTGCATCTGCTGTCTACGCGACCCCATTGACCAAGGACCAGCACAACTTCCAAACCTTCCACCCACCCTGAATCCATTCGAACGGACGGAACACCACCAGTGGGTAATGAACTGGATGCATCTTAGACTTTTTCATCTGAAACTTCGCCGAACCAGGATTGCCCTCCGTCTACCAACGTATTGCCCGTGCATCTGGTGTCTCCGCGACCCCATCGACCAAGGACCAGCACAACTTCCAATTCCTCCACTGCCCTAAATTCATTCGAACAAACGGAACACCACCAGTGGGTAATGAACTGGATGCATCTTAGACTTTTCCATCTGGAACTTCGCCGAACCAGGATTGCCCCTTGTCTACCAACGTATTGCTTGTGCATCTGGTGTCTACGCGACCCCATTGACCAAGGACCAGCACAACTTCCAAACCTTCCACCCACCCTGAATCCATTCGAACGGACGAAACACCACCAGTGGGTAATGAACTGGATGCATCTTAGACTTTTTCATCTGAAACTTCGCCGAACCAGGATTGCCCCTTGTCTACCAACGTATTGCCCGTGCATCTGCTGTCTACGCGACCCCATTGACCAAGGACCAGCACAACTTCCAAACCTTCCACCCACCCTGAATCCATTCGAACGGACGGAACACCACCAGTGGGTAATGAACTGGATGCATCTTAGACTTTTTCATCTGAAACTTCGCCGAACCAGGATTGCCCTCCGTCTACCAACGTATTGCCCGTGCATCTGGTGTCTCCGCGACCCCATCGACCAAGGACCAGCACAACTTCCAATTCCTCCACTGCCCTAAATTCATTCGAACAAACGGAACACCACCAGTGGGTAATGAACTGGATGCATCTTAGACTTTTTCATCTGGAACTTCGCCGAACCAGGATTGCCCCTTGTCTACCAACGTATTGCTTGTGCATCTGGTGTCTACGCGACCCCATTGACCAAGGACCAGCACAACTTCCAAACCTTCCACCCACCCTGAATCCATTCGAACGGACGGAACACCACCAGTGGGTAATGAACTGGATGCATCTTAGACTTCTTCATCTGAAACTTCGCCGAACCAGGATTTCCCTCCGTCTACCAACGTATTGCCCGTGCATCTGGTGTCTCCGCGACCCCATTGACCAAGGACCAGCACAACTTCCAATTCCTCCACCACCCTAAATTCATTCGAACAAACGGAACACCACCAGTGGGTAATGAACTGGATGCATCTTAGACTTTTTCATCTGGAACTTCGCCGAACCAGGATTGCCCCTTGTCTACCAACGTATTGCCCGTGCATCTGGTGTCTACGCGACCCCATTGACCAAGGACCAGCACAACTTCCAAACCTTCCACCCACCCTGAATCCATTCGAACGGACGGAACACCACCAGTGGGTAATGAACTGGATGCATCTTAGACTTTTTCATCTGAAACTTCGCCGAACCAGGATTGCTCTCCGTCTACCAACGTATTGCCCGTGCATCTGGTGTCTCCGCGACCCCATTGACCAAGGACCAGCACAACTTCCAATTCCTCCACCACCCTAAATTCATTCGAACAAACGGAACACCACCAGTGGGTAATGAACTGGATGCATCTTAGACTTTTTCATCTGGAACTTCGCCGAACCAGGATTGCCTCTTGTCTACCAACGTATTGCCCGTGCATCTGGTGTCTACGCGACCCCATTGACCAAGGACCAGCACAACTTCCAAACCTTCCACCCACCCTGAATCCATTCGAACGGACGGAACACCACCAGTGGGTAATGAACTGGATGCATCTTAGACTTTTTCATCTGAAACTTCGCCGAACCAGGATTGCTCTCCGTCTACCAACGTATTGCCCGTGCATCTGGTGTCTCCGCGACCCCATCGACCAAGGACCAGCACAACTTCCAATTCCTCCACCACCCTAAATTCATTCGAACAAACGGAACACCACCAGTGGGTAATGAACTGGATGCATCTTAGACTTTTTCATCTGAAACTTCGCCGAACCAGGATTGCCCCTTGTCTACCAACGTATTGCCCGTGCATTTGGTGTCTACGCGACCCCATTGACCAAGGACCAGCACAACTTCCAAACCTTCCACCCACCCTGAATCCATTCGAACGGACGGAACACCACCAGTGGGTAATGAACTGGATGCATCTTAGACTTTTTCATCTGAAACTTCGCCGAACCAGGATTGCCCCTTGTCTACCAACGTATTGCCCGTGCATCTGCTGTCTACGCGACCCTATTGACCAAGGACCAGCACAACTTCCAAACCTTCCACCCACCCTGAATCCATTCGAACGGACGGAACACCACCAGTGGGTAATGAACTGGATGCATCTTAGACTTCTTCATCTGGAACTTCGCCGAACCAGGATTGTCCTTCGTCTACCAACGTATTGCCCGTGCATCTGGTGTCTACGCGACCCCATTGACCAAGGACCAGCACAACTTCCAATCCCTCCACCACCGTAAATTCATTCGAACGGACGGAACACCACCAGTGGGTAATGAACTGGATGCATCTTAGACTTTTTCATCTGGAACTTCGCCGAACCAGGATTGTCCTTCGTCTACCAACGTATTGCCCGTGCATCTGGTGTCTACGCGACCCCATTGACCAAGGACCAGCACAACTTCCAATCCCTTCACCACCGTAAATTCATTCGAACGGACCGAATACCACCAGTGGGTAATGAAGTGGATCCATCTTAAACTTCTTCATCTGGAACTTCGCCG